GCACCTGGCTTTCCTCTAGAAAGACTGCGGAGTAGGCGGGTTCTCAACAGGTATTCGCTACGCCAAGATGCATGTGGAGTCAGTCGGGTGAAGACCCGCACTTCGGACCTGACGGTATCATCGTCGTTCTCGCCCCAAGGAAGACCTTGTTGTCTGGCAGAAGCCACTAGAGCATCCTGCCCAGGAAAGAAGCGTTGAAAGGCCATACGCCATGCGTGAGGTGTGGTAATCAAGGCATAAAATCTCTTGGATACCAAAGCTACGGAGGCATGGGAATCGGGGTGGAGATGGGATAGGATATGTGTTAGAATCTCTGTAGAAATACGATTAGCAGCTGCGATGATTTGGGAGCATGGAAACGTACCATTGGGAAAGTCATCGAGGTGGACGAGAGCTGCCTCATTGTCGGTGCGTTTAATGACTTTGAAGCCCAAAGCTTGTCTAGGGACAGAAGGAGTCAATGCATTCTCATACTCAGCAATTCGGTGGCCTGCGGACTGAGGATGTCCGGAAGACTGGGCACGGAGGCTCAGTCGGCGCAGGTGCTCTTCGAGATGATGGGGGTTGACGCCGTCACCGTGCCCTCGTCCGTCGCGACCCGGAACAGACTGGGGCGACATGCTGCGATCTCGCTGTTGTTGATACTGTTGCGAAGAGCCACAGGGTGAGGCACTTGCATCATCATAATAGCGCTGGGGGCCATATTGGTGGTGAGGTTGCGAGGACGGAGAGGTTTGTTGCTGCGTCTGTTTGGAAGTGTCGGAAGGCTCTAGTTGCATAAAGTTCTGTAGAGAAAATGAGGAGTTAGTTTTTTTGACTGTGCAATAAGGCCTAGCACAGTCGATCCGAGATGATGGATTGATCTTTGAAGTTGATGGCGGAAGTTGCGTTTGCGGGTGATTGCTTACGACAAAGTTCCAAGAACAAACCAAAAAATTGACGAGCAAAGAGGTGGTGTGGTTAGTCCTGCTCCATATGAGCAGGGGGGTCGGCTCGGCCTCGGCCAAGTTGACCAGCTGCTGGGCAGCCGCCAAGGCCTCATTGGCCGCCTTGACGCGGTCTGCCTTAGCGCCACTAGCCGCAGTAAAGCAGGACTTTTTGGCGGCGTTGAGGGCGCCACACCGCTCTACCCACGGAGACGACTTCGGCTTCTACAATGCATTGTTTTAGTCCTATTCCATTGTCCTATGGGGAACAATGTATGAATCAAATCAAGATAACAAATATAGGAGTAGACAGAGGAAATGAGTTAGTAAACTTATGTCCTCGGTCTTCTTCTTGGGTGGTGGTGGTGGCTGGCCCTTGCCACCACCACCACCCCAGCACTGATGTTACACACCGCCCCCGATTGGAACTCCATTTTTTTGTCCATCTATATGATACTTAGTTGTCAAACCTCAATGGGAAGGAACAAGCTGCAATCTCAGAAGGAAATCTAACTTAACTTACTTCTGGTAGCGACGAATCTCACGGAGAGCGATGGTACCGGGCTTGTAGCGGTGAGGGTTCTTGACTACTGGTAAAACGATCGTAAGCAATCTCTGCAACTCGAACACATTGACTAACCGATATCAAGGAAACCGGTACTTACAAGACTAAGAAAAAGACTACGAGACTAAATCAGTACTGTTAGTGAGCGAACAAATATGCACATCTATGAAACGACAGGCTATTGGGCATGAGGAGACAAGGGAAAACAGCAAAGCATGGGAGGACAGCAAGACATTGGAAGACAGTGAGGCATGGGGAGACAGCGAGGTATGAGAGGGAGGAGAGGCGTGAGAATGGCGTGGAAGTTGATGACAGAGAAGAAACTGCAGTCTTCAGCTCCGACGAGATCCTATTCATTCTGACATCTTGCGATAATGAAACAAGAGGACGATGAATGCTGGGTTGGGGGCGAAGTCGGCTCAATCAAGAATACTTACAATGTGGGCGTTCGCGGCTGGAGAAAAAAGAAGAAGAAGAGAAAGGCGGGAGAGCAGATCAGAACAGCTACCTAAAGTATTTCACACTAGTGGCCACGGGCCATCGTGCTTGCCTCTGCTCTCCTTCTTTCTTGTGTAACCTGCTTTTCTGTGATAGCCCAGTCTAGTATACATGGTGGTACCATCTGCATCTGCCTAGCTACATGGATGCTGATACCATTAGTTCTAGAGATCATTGTCAAATATTTCCCCAGTTATGGGCTTGTGTGAAATGACTATTTGTACGTCAGCCTACATCGGCTCTCTTTATTTTTATGGCAGTGAAGCGATTTGGGGAAGAATTAGATGTTTGATTAATGCTTCTGAGGCGTCGCCAGTTACATCGCGGAGGCGTGGGACCTGCAACAGAAACTCAGGTAGTTAAGTGTGTACGTTTGTCATAGAATTGGGCAAAAATGTAGATATACTGCCATGCAGACTTCTGTTTTTTTATTGAAATGGGATCTGCTGCCTCGTTATTTTGTAGCCAGATTTAGCTATAGAATATATACAGCGATTGCTTAATATAAACTACACATCAACAGAGAAGGTCGTCTATCTACCAAGTATGTCCAGTGGTTGGTAAAATCTTTGTGATACGTATAATAAGCATGAAGTCAGTTGCTTCGATGATGTGGATTATCTAAGAATACCTCGAGTAGCGCGTCTAGTAGATTTTTGAGATGGAAGCGGATTATTCATGTTGTAAAACGGATGAACATCAGTCTCGAAAATGTCTATGGATTTGGCATGAGACATCTATCCAATACATCGCAACTGGAGCTCGCTCCTCAGCGATCACCTCCGTATCTATGCCCTTTATTAGACTAAGACGCATGGTCGTCGGGATAGGGTCTACATGCTTTAAATAACCTTGTGAATATTTCATAGGATCGCTCGACGCTCATATTCAAGATGGAAATCTATGGAGCCGGAGATGGTCTAAAGAAGTTATTGGGTGTGAGCCTAGACCTTAGTACAAAATCGGCCAATCTACAGTGGATAGACACTATCGTAGCACTAGATTTGAAATAGTCCCTACTAAGGCAACGCATGGCTTGCTGGCTTTTTGTAGACATCACCGGATATCTATTTGCTCGAGCGCGCTGGGATTAACTCTATGTTCCGTCGTAAACGTTCGATGGAGGCACAGACATTAGTAGATGACGGACAAGGCAATACTATCTATTGACATTTGTGTTCAAATCACTTCTACCGAGGACATGATGTCCCCACGTTGTATCCTAATGACTCTTGTTTCAGGTGTGCGTAGAGGCTCAGATCACTTATTAGCTGCATCTTACGGCTGAAACTATTTGATTCCTGTTGCCCTGCACCAGCATTACTTTTTTTTGTCCATGGTGAGATCGATAACTGATCAATACCGTTGAGAACTGCCAGTGGGACCAACGGCAGCAGGCTCTTCCAAAGTAGGCGAAGTTGTCTCAAAACGAGTAGGTAATAGAGTATGTCTCATCCTGGCGCTCAAGTACCAAAACTTCCGAATGCGTAAATTACGGAAGCTGCGTTACGATGCAGTAGTGTAGAGCGTCGATTCAGGATCAGATGGTCTCCCGGAATTTATGTTGCTTCATTGTTGATAAGAAGTGTAATTGGGCTTTTCGAGGTTGCCCAATACCCCGTCAAGATAGATTTGATCGTTTTTTATTATTGCCTCTGTTTAGAATGCCCTATCAAGAACGCTCGGCACTATGTGCTTAGAGCGACTAAAACGGGGCATGATAACAGACGCTGTAAATATGTGCTGGTCAAGAACCATGTTAGATCGGTTGTCAATAGTAAGATGACTAGTAGGGAATACTTTTTCTGGATTTCAAACACCTACAATAATGTCGTCGTTGGAAATTTGGGTCGCTTTCATGTCACCGACCAAGTAATCTCATTTGATATTTGCCCCGAGCTAAAAGGAGAGACTAGAATGCTCCCCATCTTACTACATTGAACGCCCTATTGATACGGGACCAGGCAGATAGGCTGAAGAGTTTACTGGCAATGAGATTACCACATACAACAATATTGACATGAGCGCAAAATCTTGAGCGATGTAGCTATCCACTCGAAGGCGCTGTGTCGGGATCATTTCGCTCATATTAACACTGCTCGATGTATTTGAATAAGACGCTCTATATGAAAATCGTGGTGATGCTTGGCCACCGACTTCGGTGTGATGACTTTCACTACTGCATGTGTATTTCTGGCAAATTCGGTGTACTTAGTTCAGTGTTATGGCAGAAGAAAGATATTTATTCTATTTCAATCCTTACATAGCGAAGTGCCATCGGAATAAATTTAGAAGAAAGACAGCGAGATGATTTGAGATCAGCCAAGGATTCTAGGGCTTTGATGTAAAAAGGCTTCGCAAAGAGGGTCCCTGCGACACCTTGGCAGCATCGTGGATCTAAAGGGAGTTCCTTGAACCATCCGATGGCGAATCTGACGGGGCATGTGTGTTGAATTCTGTGTTTATAATGTAGCCTTGACTGTGAGGAGATGCTGAGATGAACCGCTGGATCGAAGGTGTTTTCAAGTAGAAATAACAGAATCCGTCTACTTTTTATATTGATAGTCTTCATTGTCTTCATGGGAATATAAGTGAGTATATGATTTGTCTAAGAGTTGGGCTAGGTTGGGCAGGCCAAAATATGCCCCCGTCATTGGCGGCCTCGTAGATGTTCACCAAGGTGATGTCGTTCCGAATCGCAATGAATAGGCAGAGGTGCTTAGGATCCGGAGGGATTGAAATACTTAGCTTGACAACTGAGGAGATGTTATGACGATCGTCTTGAATACTCGCCGGATTGAAACGGCAACAATCGAAGCAGACCTAAACCCGGGTTGGTCCCGCTTTGGGCAAACACGCCAAAAGGGAGACATGCATTTATAAATTTGCAAAATCATAAATTTTACCTGCTAGGTCCAGCTTTATTTACACTTACGCTAAACTGCCAAAGCCGAAGACGTGATATAGAATTTATTGATAATATTGTAAAATTGGACAAAAATAATAATTGAGGGCTCAACCAAGATTCGAACTCGGGACCTCGCCCAAATTGTGTTTGATACAACGGGAGTGACCCGAAGGGCGAATCATACCTCTAGACCACTGAGCCAATCTGTTGAGGCGAAGTATAGTATTCCAAGTAATATAGACTAGTTAATAGAGTCAAGGGATTGGCGGCAGATTACGTGGTTAACGGCCGGACTTCGGGTCGGACATATTATTATATCCGGCTGCTACTTCATTTATGAATAAGATCACATCGCAGTAGACAGAATATGGAAGGATTTGAAATATGATTAAACGATTTTCGTGATCCGTAGGGTAAGACTCCAGGTTGCCAACAAGCCAGCTGAATGTTCAATCTTGGAAGTGATACCTTCAACTAGAGTAATTAGGGATTTCAATTAGCAGATTATTCAACGCTTGAAGCTAGCACACTCTTTGATGCAACCATTGGAAGATCTTGTGTGCGATTACATTCTCGCTATCAAGAAGAGACCTGCACCAAAGCTATTTCAAGCGAGCAGTATGGAACGGGTTCACCATATCGACCGGTGGTGTATATATACATGTATGTAGCTAGCTATTTCTGGCCACCTAAATCTCACGCCATTGAATCGCCAAGAATCCCATATTGAATCCTCTTGGTTTGTGTTACTTTGGGGTCATGGGGCTCTTACATCCCTTTGTGTCATTACGGCCTAGTCTTTGCTCCGGGATACGCTCGTCATGTGTCAAGGCTTCGGAACCCAGATGAGAAAATTTCAAGATATGAAAAAATCTCGGTATGCAGCTAATTGGGTATAAGTAGGAGCCAGGAGTAGGTCTAGTAGAGAGACACATCTTTGTGCCGATGAAGATGTTAACCCCCTCTTACTCAATCTAAATCTGCACCTCTAAAAATCACAAAAATTGCCGTTCTGGGATACACTAACTTGTTGATGTTACTTGTTTTTGGATATGATCTAAGCGTAAAACGTCACTATAACCCACCGTCTCCGTCGTAAGTAAGTGCCGCGTGGTCCCTGTCTCAAGTCTCTCGCCGGCCACATGGTGCTCAGAATGGCAGCCATCAGAACATTTAGCTACACATGGTCTTTACTTCATAGTGAGGCGTGAATAGATTATTTCTCGCAGGGATGTGCATCGGATCACGAAGTACTCCAGCATTGATAATCACTTGTAGTTGACAGTCAAATCCTCGACCTGGCCGTTAGTCCTGAAAGCGTCTTGCATAAATGTCTTAGTCAGCTGTGCCATGGGTTCATTCAATCGAAAATGATGAACAACGGACGAAAGAGTGATCTGTAGATCTTCGATACAAGTGATCATACCTTGAAGCCACACACTATGCGTGATCTATACAGGGCGTCCAGTATCGCTGCGTCACCAGAAAGCTGAGATGTCTCCATTACTCTGCCATATATTAGCAGCTATGGAATCTCCAGTTGTGTGCTTTGCCCTCATAGTAGCTCTACTAACCAGCTATCGCAGCATCGTGTCTCTCGTGAGAAGAAATAAGCTGTAATGCGCACATGGCTCTGAAGCCTCTGTTCGGCTGTTTGATTAGACATTGAGGCATCGATGGCGGCGCCGGTGCGTGGGTTTGAATGTGTGGTTGGGGATTGGATGAGCCACATTGGCTGCGTGCACGCGAGGAGTGATGAAAGTAATGAACGTCGGTCTCTGATAGGTGCAACACCGCTATCCTAGAATGATAGTAACATCAGTAAATCTCGCTGAAGCCGGTAGAGGTTTCCTTGAAAAAGGAGGGGTGTGAATCATTCAGCTGTAAGTAGTAAACTAGCCGCACACATAACAACGGATAAATTCTAACGGCTTGCAGCTCGCATTTCTGACGGTGTCTTTCGATATCAATCACGCTTCGTGCTGCGATACAATTCGGCTTGGAGTACACGATTGATGTAGCCTCAGGCTAGACCACGCAAATGCTCATGTGGAAACCAATTCCAACATTGGCCTGGAGTCCTATTCTTCACAATCAACCCGCTAAATGGCCCTGTCTTTCCACCTTCAATGAAAACAGATGATTTCATTCCCGCCTCATAATTAAGGAGCATACGAACAAGTGCATTATTATCACAACGCCTGCTGACGACCGGATGCGGCACTACGACACTGTTTACTCTCGCCGCTGCATCCTTGATTTGACATGCCTTGGCAGAAGAGTACCCATAGAGGCAATCGAGCCCTTATCCACCAGGTCGCTGGCTGCTAAAGTGTTACCATATATTGGGTGGTACTACACTAGACCGACATCTACGATCACTAATTTTTTCATCGAGGATTCCCTCATACTGAGTTCTGAAGTGTATATGAGAAGGACGCCTTGAGAACACTTTTTGTCACGGAGGTGACAGCTGTGGTGGAAATAATATTAACACGAGGGATCCAATGCAAGGTAGTGATCTCTGTAGCATGTATTGAGGTGATCTCCAGAAGGGAAATCTGTAAAACTATCTGCAGATACACTGTCTTTTATACACATGATCATTGTAAGAAGGTATACGCAGCTCTCATACTCGGGTTCAGCGCAGGTCCCTCAAGGCCGATGCCGGGCCTATGGCGCTATTCTGACACTTTTGGCTCGTCCGCCCATCTCGACTACAAGTCAACTCGTCCTCCTTGGGCACATTGTGCTCTTTATGCAATGACCGCCTCTCTGAAGCAGGATGCAGCGGGTATCTCTCTCTACGAGCACAAGCTGATCCGCGCACCATTTCTAAACAATCATTGTTGTATCCCTAATGCTGTTAGAAGGACTTTGACTTTGGGACTTGGGTAATCCATGTTGAGACCATCCAAAGGGTGGGTCTTTTGATGGAAGAGAGAAGGGAGAGAGAAAGAGGCCAGAGTGGCGGGAAGTCTTGGTGGAAGAGAGTGGGAAGAATGAGAAAAGACGAGAGTGGGAAACGGGAGAGAGGTCTGACCTACCCGAACATTTGGCTTGAATAGGTCAAGGACTTGTTGGCTGTGAGAACATCGTGTAAGTGCCCAGCCAACGATATAATCATGTTCAATCTGCGTAGACTTGCTAACACGAGCCTATCCAGGACACTGAACAGCCATCTCCATCGAAACGATAACATTGCCGAGCATAGACAACCGGATGCTTCCCTCGAGAACAAGGTGCCTTGGGGCTTTTCGAGTGTACATACCAGCAACCGAGCTGAGTTGCCTTGGTTCGACTCTGAAATTGGACTCGCGATGGATGGAACGGCACGATCATTGCCGCTGACTCGGCAGACGTAGTTCAGAGTGCCACAGTCTTTGCTCGAACCGGGTTCAACACGCGTCTTGCGATCGATCATATCATAGTCAATCACAAAGCGTCTACTTTAATCAAGATCACGACATCGGTAATATATCATCTGGCGGCCACACAACCATGGAGAACCCACTGTTGGCTATTTCTTCCCTGCCTTACAAGGCAACGCCCTTTGGTATCAACACACGACAACGATCCGGCTGGGCCCTGCGGAATCAATGGGAAAACGACATCCATACCTTAGCAGACAGTTTTCTCCACCCATTCACACCAAAGATCTGGAATGGCCTCTCGCGGTATCAGCTCCCATCCTACATCACGGACTCCGGGGCACCAAACGGCAAAATCTAGATGCCGTTGTCCAATGTTGTATAGCCATCTCGCTTTGAATGTATCCTACATGCTCGCTTAATCCTTTATCCGGTTGCCACGTATTAAACTGAAACCTGACAATCGTCCAGGAGCCTCATACTTAACAGAGTTCTCTACCAAAGCAGGCTACCGTTTTGGGAGGACTCAATATCACTTCTCACCACTGGACAAGCCCTTTTCACCAGAAAGAAACACAATCATTGGCCTTATTCAAGACCGAGAATTAGTCTCATAGATCTGAAAGAAATGAACGATCTCTTTACGGATACAACGAGGATAAGTGTATCTTGGAACTGGCCGTCTTCATTACAGCCCCGTGGAAATGACTTTTCGGGATGCATACCAAATGAGCCATTTCTTCCTCCGCGTTCCTTAAGCCGACCTGGAATTTTGCGATCTTTTACGGTGCCCACAGACCTCTATTTCGTCAGTCTTTGCCACCAAATGTCGTGCTCTCCGGGAGGTAGTGGAGGATTTCTCCAAACAGTGTAGCCATGATGCCGGTGCTATCTGCAGCAATGTCTCCCAGAGGTTCTAAGCCCTCCATTCTCCTTCGAAAGCACGGCGGCGCATAATTTCCCAGCGCAGCATTCCTTTTCCACATCAGTACATCATGTACCACTTCTTAACAGCTCCAGACTGGGCGGCCATCTCTCGCCTTTGGAAGTACGACTCCGCATATGCTAGTGCTCATTCGACCTTCATTGCCGTTATGACCAACACTAGCTCTCTGCTTGTCGGCCCCTTCATAACGTCCAACGTACTCGGTTTTTGCACACCAATTCTTTTACTCAGGAAGGTAAATAACCTCGACTGTCAATGACTATATGCTAATGCTCCATATTCACCACAGCCTATTGTTGCTACTGCCATCGTCGCCATCATCAGTACATCGCACTTTTCCTATCATAAGGAGTAGTGCCTTCCTTCCATAGGTTCATTGCGGTCTTTCTCTCCTTTGCGCCGCAGCGCAGCACTCCCTCGCCCCAGCTTCGGTATCGACTCCGGCAGCAAAGCCGGCGTCTTTCCAGCCGCCCCACGCTTCACCCACACCCACAATTCCCTCGGCATAGCGGACTTTTGGGTCCTGTCCCACCGGCCACAAATTCCCAGAAGTCAACTTCACCTCCCGGATGGGAAAATTAGAGAAAGGCTTCATCGGTGCCCAAACGAGGAGAATCAAAAGAAGAATGTCGAATGATCCTTCTGCAAAGAGTCTCGCCTCTGTTACCAAGCGCGCGGTCAAAGCCAGGCGATTTCAACAGCAACTCAGCACAACTGCTGGGTGGGACATCCACATCTCAAGAAGTAATGGAAAGCTGAAAGGCTCCACGAGGTGAAGCCTTCAGGGGAGCCCTAAACTTGAGCAATACCATTTGGCACGCAGTTCAGATAAATAATAATTTCACTTTGGCAATAGATGAATTAGTCGTCTATGAGGGCAAGTA